GAAGCTGTACTGATAAATCGGCTTCGGTTTCGCCTCCTGCCTGTAATAAACCTGCGGTGGCTTCGAGGTGGTGTAGGAATAAGAAGGCTGCACGGGTGGACGGGGAGCGGGTACGGTCTGATAGTAAAGAGGCGCGTGATCAGGTAACATGCGTTGACCGTGAGCTCTCGCCGAGCTGCTCTCGCTGTACTTCGATGAACTTTGCGCGATCGTCGACTCGCTGTAACGAATTGGCCCAGAATTTTTCGCCGGCGAGCCTATGAACCTAATACCGTTGTAATCCTTGTGTGACGTGTCCCCCGACGGAACCGTCTCCACCCTGTAATATTGTTTCCTCTTCCCCTCGCGTGGTCGCGTCTCGAAAAACGGCGACTCCGTTGTAGTTTCGTAATAAACCGGATTCGGGGGGGTCGTGCGGAGGGGTTGCTCGTCGTTCGATTCCTCGTAAAAATAGTACGACGCTTGGCCGTTGTGAGACCGTTGCGGGTTATCCGTAGTAGTAATGATACTCTTTATCGAGGCCGGCGTCACTTCCACGGGTCTCTCCAAGGTGGACTGCGTCGACGTGGCGTAGTAGGCCATTATCGGAATCGTTTTACTCGTCACCACGCCCGACCAAGCTTCGTTCTCCCGGCTCGTTACCCGATTCTCCGCCAACGGGCCAACGTTGAACAATTCTTCGGGATTCTCGAGCGTGGTAGATTTATCGGGCGTCGACGTCGTAACTTCCACGTACGGTACCGTTCTTAATTTGCTCCTCAATTTCGTTCCAACCGCGTCCGTAAAGTTTTTCCTCGACGTTATTCTACCGAACACTTTGCTCACGCCCAATGACGGGCGATTATCCGTCGATCCTTGCTTCGCGATCGGTATAGTTGTCGTACTCTTGTACTGCTTCGTGGTGAGTTTTCTGGGCGGTAGATAGGTGGGCCTTGGCCTCGGCAAGGGTGTGGTCTCGGGTCGTCTCTGCGTCGCGTACTTCTTCGTCGTGGTCCTCTTGTCCTCGAGGGCGGAGAAGAAATCTGGCGGGGGTGGCAGAATGATCCCC